GATGTATAAATCTATCATCTGTAGACACAACGCCTTGGAGTCTAGACTGTTTTTATGAGTTCGTCCTTGGAGATTTTCGCATTGTTCCAATTTTTTGCTTAACTTCTGCCATATTTCTATAGAGTAGTACGTAAAAAAACCCTTTTCTTTACATAATTTTTTTTTTACATATAGTCACCGTCGTTGATAAAATTCCGTTTGAAAAACCTCACGTTGCGTAAGCTTTACAAGAAGATTTATCACCTTCACAAAAGCTATTATGAGCTCGTTCGTGTTCATTCAGGAATGGAACTAACCTCCTCCCGTTGTAAAAAAAAAAACAAGAAAAACACACCTTAAAACATCCATTTTTCATTGATCTGTTATATTTATCCGAGGGACTACATGGTAAAATCGGAAGCGTCATTGTGTGCCACACCATTGACGAACTAGCGGCAGTTAACGATTGATGTTTATGCAGATGGATACGTCAGAAAATCGATATTTGTATCGTAAAATACACGTTTTGCCAATAGTAGTAGCTCATTTAATAACCCCCCTTCACAAATACTCACCAACGATCGATTTTTTCTCGTTAGTTTAACCACGTTTTGCGAAACGAAGTCACAGAAAAGAGGAAGAGGAATCAAAAAAAAAATCTCCATTGCCAAAATTTTCTTTCACCTTTACCTAACCTACGTGGGCCATTAATTAATAAGTGACATAATGAAGACGATGTACATATTTAAACAATTCTGAAGGCACCGGATGGATAATAAAGATTTCTTAAATACCCATAGTTGGCCAAAGTTCCCCGTAGTGGTACTTCACACAGGAGGGAAATCTAATTGTTTTACATTGTCTGTATTCAGATGGCATAACTTTATGGGCGTTATCTGATGTATGGGTACTATCTGACATACTGAAACACGAAACTTTGATAGACACGTGTTTGCAATACCCAAATTCACGTGATAGTTATCAATGTAAACATACTGCAGGGAGGTGTGAGGTGTATAGAAACAATCAAAATTTAATGGAAAATTCCTTTCCTCTTTTCATATTAAGAAATATTTTAACGTTTTTTTTTTTTAATGTTGAAAAATCGATAATTGCTTTTTCCTCTAATACCCTCTAATCACTGTTTTCACCTCAATGTGTTTAATAACCCAATTTTTCTTTCCTTCAGGAAATTACTTTAAAACTAAAAAAAAAAGCATTCCCCAAAACTCTAGCTTCATCTCCATAACGATTTTTCTAAATTTGAAGTTTTCTTTGGCATTCAAACGTAATCAAAATTATGTATATACGAAAAATATGCTAAATTTTTATTATTCTTTCACACTAATTCCTTAAATTAAGCTACATATAACTTTCTACAGCCATTACACGTGTCTTCACATCAAGTTCATTCAGTATCTCAAAAATACAGGGGGGTACCTCTGTTTTAACTCGTTCTACCTTAGGTTCACCCTTAGTAAATCTTAAAAATAGAATAAGATGAGAGTTGTCCTGAGGTTTACTGAGAATAAATCCGGTACATGGTATCCAAGGTACAAAGTACAAGGACTTACAAGATTTCCGGATTTACCAAGGATGGTACAAAATATAAGGTATTTACTAAGAGTAGTTGAAGGTATAAAGGTAGTACATAAGAGTAATACGAAATATAAGTATTTAGAAAGGTAGTAATCTTATACTAAACGTGTTTGAACTTGTTATTTACACTAACATAATCTGCAAACCGAGCTAAAGATTTTGTTAGTATAAATGGAATGAAAAATTTAATAAGCAAGAAGGCAAAAATAATATAGCAGCATGGCAGGTCGGGATGATCGGAGGAGATACCACAATTTTGAATCATAATAACAGAGGAAAAACTATTTAATTCCACTTCTAACCTAATAAAATTTTAGTAAAAAAAAAAAAATACAAAAATTCCTCCTACAAAACCGCAAGAATATTTTTTTTCTTTTTTTTCCGGTAAAGAACAAACGGAATGCTTTTTAAAAACTCATGGAAGAAATGTCATACCATTAACCTTAATGGTCGAGCCATTTATCTATTAGTTACTTGGATTGCAGGACGCGTGTCAGGTAGAAAATCGAAAAGTAGAAGAAGAAGAAGAAGAAGAAGCCGAGAAGTGTTATTTTTAGAATAAAACCCCATTATTAAGCCAGGTTATTTATTATATCCCGAAATAAAAGCTTTACTTTAAGATTAAATATGGCCGCGTTAACGTTAATTATAACTCGCTGCACCGACTCCTCTTAACTGCATCATTAAAGTTTGCATGAAATTTGTAGTTTGTTGAACTCGTGTAAGTTTCGTAGATTATTTTACTCGTTTCTAGATCTTGTAACGTATTTTCTTTTTTTTTTTTTACTTTCTCTTTTTTTCTAATCTGTTACGGATGGCTAAAAATAAGCAGGTTTGACAAATGCTAGGCAACCTTTACACGAACTCAAGATGGAAGAGTCACGTTACAAACATCTGGACATGACCATGACACAGAGATGTTACAACTGTATTGATCAAGATGTTAGAAGTGCAACTGTTTAGTGTAGGATTCTTCCGGAGAATGATTTTCCATCCGGTATCTAATCTATACAGATGGAGTAGCCTGCGAGAGTTTGTTCTCTCTTTTTTTTTTTCGAGTACGCTGTGACCCGACACGATTCTGATTTATTCTTGTGAATAAGAAAGTTTGAAAGGGTTTTTTTTAAAAAAAAACAACTCGTAAATACATTTTAAACTAACGTGATTGACGCGTGGTGCTGTTATCAGGAAGTACGAGTGTATTTTTTTCGGTTGTGGCCGAATGGGTTTGCACCCCACAAAGGGCTGGCTACACCAGTTTTCTTTACTTGTCTAACATTTAAATAGGGGCCAATTTCCCAAAGAAAGCCCTCCCGGAGGATTGGTCTATTGTGTGATCTGCAAGGTGGGTTTCCTTGGCAGACCACACAATAAACCAATTCTTTCAGTATCACTATTTTCATTACTACTAAAATGCTACTAAAACTTATTTTATTAATTAATATTCTATCATTATTACTGTAATCACACTAATACTGCTGCATCATCATCAAATTGTCGATAATATGTGCTAGTCTTGTAATCAGGGCCAGAATTGCAAGTAAATTAATCAAGCTGCGGCTTAGGGCCTAACATTTTCACACATTACTTGGTGAAGGGAAAGGGCCTGTTAATTCTATAGTTTCGGGCCACAACATGCCTGAGTGTTGAGCTGACTATTACAATGGCAAGACATTTATGTAATACCATAATAACGATGTCAGCTACCTTCATCTTGCTGCTCCCACTACTACATTATCATTGTATATATTCCAAGCATAATTTCGGTTATGTACTACAATCCATCAATGTTTCTGTCTCATTAATGCCCCACTAATATCACTAAATTTTTATCTCGTTAATGCCCCACTATTAGGCCCACTACTGCTACTACTAATCTCACTATCGTAATCATTATGTTAATGCTACATCGCTTTCAAAAATAAGAAGGCGTATTACTATAACAGCATTATCACAATACTTCTGATTACTGACCCACGCTGCTACTATCGTTTCATTTTTGTTAAGGGAAGCAAAAAAAACTTCATCTCAAAACTTTTTTTATGTATTAAACTTTGAGAAATGGCGATATCTTCGAAAAATTGGCAATGGAAGTGGATGCCGAGAATTATGGAACTACATTCCGAGATGATGATAAAAGATAGTAAGCTTCAAGATGGTGTTAGACAGAGATTGGAGGGGGATACTAAAATTATGATTCTTGTTATACTACCTAACTTATCTAGATTTTGCAATCGTAATAGTTCTTATCGAGGTTACACAACCGTTATAAACCTTATAGGATGTGAGATAAGTGACTTCTCTAGATTTGATAAGTTTCCTGTGTTTTTTTTTTTTTTCTTCCTTTCTTTACATTGGTTTCTGGATGTAAAATAAGGTACTTACACTGTTTATAAACGTTGTATTTACAAATCGCACTGGAGTTCTTGAAAAGTTGAATCGTTAAGTCAACAATTAGCCAAGTGCCTTTGGGGTATGAGTTTTGTTTCTGCTTACTCTTTACACGTGAAGTCAGTAATTTAATTTAGGTGAACACAAATAATCAAATTTGGTCATCTCACCACAAGAAAACAGTAAATCCCAAGAACCACTAAAGCTCCAGTTTGAGCGCTTCTCTACTATAACTAAATTTTAAATAGGAGTTTCGTACCACAATTAAAGCTGTGGGTAGGAATCCATGTATTTAGTTACTTATCATACCGAATTTGTAAATAGAAATCCACTTGTCTAATTTCTTACTAGTAATTAGGGGTCAACCAGCCTAACTATCCAGCGAGGAATCCATCTAACTAGTACTACAATTAAAGCTTTAGGTAGGAATTTATCTAGTTACTTATCACACTGAATCTGTAGATAGGAATCGTCTTATCTGATTCCTTACCAAAGCTAGAGGTCCTTATGTCTATGCCCTTACCACAACTTAAACTTCTAGATTAGGATTTATTATTAATTACTTGAGAACTTATTTACATATCAATATGCTGGCCCGCAGTATACACATAACGGACATAAGCTATAATTTAAAATATTGCGCAAGAAAATCTAACAATAGTAAAACATCATAAACCGACACGCTTATAAAACAGACTAATAATTCACTTTTACTGTTGATTTCCTCTTTCGGGTGGAGTTGGACATGTAAGGATCGAAAAAAAAGTCGAAGCCTTTTTATCAAAACACGACATTTCTAGGAGCCACACCCCATTTTTGAAAAATCGAAGATTTATACATGATAAATATATACTGTACATATTAGCAGGGAGGCATTAAAATCGAAGTACAGAAAATCTTCCAAGTAGTATATGTGATAAAGCAAACAAGATAGAAGCCCTTGGTGCTAAGGGTGATAAATACTCCTAGTGATAAGGTAATACTCCGAGTGACCGAGATGGGGATAGATAATATCGACCAAAGACACTTACCGTGACAGCTGTATCCGTTGTCAGCTAGGGTGTGTCCTTCCTTACACGAACATTCGTAAGTTCCATCATGTAAGTCGAAGCAGAGTTGTTCGCATGGATTGTCTTCGCCGCATTCACCTAATAGTAGAAGAAAAATATTTTAAAAAAAAATACCAAGATAAATTAAGCTATAAAAGTTATTAACCTCGTATTTATAATTAATTACCTAATTATCGTGCTGGTAAATGTCATTCTACGCTCCACCCCCTAATAAACCGATTGTCACTAAATTTCGCCTGAAGGATGCCCTTCGGGTCTTTAACGTGTGCACCAAATTTATTAATCCTAGCTTCAATATTTTTAGAGAAAATGAATTTTGGAAAAGGCGTCGGAGTTCGATAAGCTTCGTCATTAATGTACATAACATCAATTTTATATTATTAAATTGTCTATTTTAAGTTAATAAACATTTATATATGCTTTCCTGTATGTTTCTTTGCTATTTTCTGTTAGTGTTGGATAAATATTTCCTGTTTCAGCGTGTTTTCCTTTATAGTTCCTTGTTCATCGCATCATACTTTAGTATGTTGTTTCCTGTAAGGCTTATTTATAATTTTTGTAATGTTTATGTCTTATAAAATTGAAATAGCAGTTATTCTAATTTATTCTCCTAAACTTTGGGGTTATATAATCCTTATATGCAGGAAAATCTAATCTTTAAAACCAATACAGTTTTTAGGCAATTTTATTTATTTTATTACCATTCTAAAGTGAAATAAGAGTCTAATTTTTATTAATTCCTTGTATAACTCCATTCTTCCAACTCTAAAAAGAGGAAACAAATCCTTCTTAACGTGAACTTCCTTCTTAATGGATATTAAGTGTCCTTAATATGCGCAGGATAAGATAATTTTAGAAATTCCAACTCCAACTTCCTCAAAAATCCTTTCGACTCTTCACAGAGATCTTTAAAAATTTTATCAGGAGATTAAAAAAAAAATTTCTGTGCCCCGAAAGAGTAAATATTGCTCCTATATCGTAAGCAATAGCGTGGTTATAAAATATAAGAGCAATGCATCCTTTCAATACATCGCTTACAATTGCAAACACTGCTATTTTAAGGCAATAAAATCAACGAGGATGTTCCCGTACACTCTTAATGTAACTATTCTTCAACCCTTTCCACTAATCTTAAACAAAAACAAGAAATTTGATGCATAATTATATTACAATAGAAGTACGAAGCAATACACAATGAATTTTCATTTTCTTCCGAAACAAAAATCGGGTATTAATTTAATTTTCCTTTCTCGTAGAACACTACTATCGATTTTGTTCTAATTTTTAGTAAACTAAATGCTAATTAAGTAATGAATTTTACCTGAGATCAGTAGGAAAAAAAAACCCCTCTAACAACCTTTCTGATTTATGGCAGATTACTTCTACCATCTGAATTATGACGTCGAAAGCAGCCGGGTGTCTTAATTTAATTAAAGAAAAATATTACGTATAAATGAAATTTAGAACGAGCCATTCAGGAAATTTAATACTAAAATCCGAACAGAAATGTAGTAAAAAAAAAAATAATAATAATACTCTTTTCTCTTCACATTTTTTCGTATGAAACTTTAAAGGGTGATGGCGTTCGCGTGAGGGCATGAAATTCTTCAAGTTCAATCTCCAGGAAAGATTTTCGAAATGCTACTTTTCTGTAATAATTCTTGTAGACTTTAATCTTGCTTTTTATTTCTTCTACCTTGGCGTGTATAATGCGCACCCCTAAGGGATATATATATATATATACATACATACATATTTTTTTTAAAGAAAAGGATAGAGTTAGAGCCACGCGACGAGCGGTTCACTGTTTGACTTTCGCATCGTCGCTCCCGAAATCTTATTTGAATGACAGCATGACATGATGTATGACATCGCTCGACTATTTGTACAGTAGGTAAACCTTATTGTGCATGTCGTTCATGATTCTTTCTACAAATTTCTTTCTTCTCAAAGCTAGTTTCTGAGACGTCTCGTAAAAGTAAAATAAATTTGTTCCATCTCTTCGAATTTCTTTATACTTACTTCTTGTCCTGCTCTGAAGAGCCTTCTGGATACAAAGAATAGGTTACGACTTAACTAGGTTATCTCCCGTATAACCTTTTGTTACTTTGAATTTTATGCGAACTATAAGGTGAAAATTGGTAATGGTAACTCAGGAGTTTTATTTTATTTATCTATTTTTAAACTAATTCACTATATTTTGGACGAAAAATTCATTAAAACAGCCATTTTTTTCCAAGTTATGCTCCATTTCATATTAGAAATCGTACGTGATGCGGTTATATATATATTATCGATGTGTTGAAATCGCTAAAAGTTGAAGGAATTTTTCGATCGAATTTGAAGAATTTTACTGTATTACATTTTCTGTGCCATAAATAACGATTTTTTTACCAAAAATTTTGGGTAAATTTTGTATAAAATACTTTATAAAATTAAATTGTTACTGATAATCAGGTTTCAGATTACTGTTGAATTTTCAACAGATAGCATATTTAATTTACTATCAAGAAAATATCTAAATTTTAAAGATAATTAAAGCTATACGATAAATAAGAAGTGCCTTTTACCATTATTTTTATCCTAGCTTTTGATATTTTTTTCTTTTTACAATTAACTTCCACGATTCTCATATATCATAATTATAATTATAATATGACATTAGCTAATTGTTAATTATTGTTACTTGAGAAAAATGTTAAACCATTTAATTATCTTACTTAGAACATTTAAAATATATTAATAAACAAGAAAATTCTAATTTAAATTTAGAACAGAAAGCGTGCATCACTATAAAAATTATCCTGTAAATAACACCGAGATGAAGTATCTCTAATGATGTAAATTGAATTTTATTACCAATATTGCATTTCTTGCTAGTCAATGAATGCTTAAAAGGGTCACCGGCAACTAATGGAAGATCATTTAATGCCATTTGCAGAAAGACTAGTGCTTTTAATGGAAGTTTCGGCATGAGTAGTCATGGACTACGTGGTAACTTTTGACTTGCAATTTTGGTCAGGTACCTCTTAAAAATGTCCAAGAGAGAAGTATACCCAGCTAATGTCTTGACATTTTTGTTTTTAAATTTTTAACAAATTTACTGAAGCTATAAAAAAAATTGTATGTAAATTTAAACGCATCCAGAACAATCCCATATTAGAGAAACCATCAAAAAGTTATAAAGACGAACAAACGCAAGCCGCAGCTTTATTTGCAATTACTTAATCTACAAAAACATGCAAGATTGCTTTATGACTATTTAAAAAACAAGAAAATCCTACTAGAAAATGAAAATTACCCTGTTAAATTCTCTCTCTGATTAATTGCATAAATGGTTCCTGGATGGCATCATTCAGTTTAAGAGTTTAATCTCGTGTATTTTTATTGAGTGCCCAATAAAATTTGATGTAACTTTTTTAAAAAAAATATATATATCATTAAAGCCTTTTTTTTTTCTTTCTTTTTCATTTTAAATTTTATCAACATTAAAACTCATTCGTGAACGAGTAGAATAAGCAATGAATTCATTTTATGAAGAGAATCGTATAAAAGGACATTTGGTGAAATACCCTTGGGTGCCATTTATTCGTGTTTCAATCAAAGATTATTTTCGCATCACAAATTTACATTCATTATCTTCTACGTCAATGGTTATCTTCTGTAGTATTCTGATGAAGCTTTTAAAAATAATAATAATAAAAAAAGAAAGTATTTTCGTATTCTGTTCTATTTTCTTTTAACAAAATTCTAATCCTTAATCTCTTACATGCCGCCATTTCTTCTTCTTCTTCTTCTTTCTTTCTTTCTTCCTCTTTGCAACTTTCGAATTCCATTATTGTAATTTGTTTTATTCATTTTTAAAGATTTTTTTTCCCTCCTCTTCCTCTCCGCTTCTGTTTTCTTAAGTATCGAAATACAGTTAAGTGGATTTAAATAAAACTTTCCAGATTTTATTTCCTTACTTGTAAACATATTGCGAGAGGATTGAATAATGTTATTAATTTTGATTTTTCCCCCCTGTTTTATATAAATATAACTAAATTATTCCGTGACGAATTTTTTAAATGTTTATTTCAGCGAAATTTTCTTTTATTTATACACTTTTTTTATTGATCCGAACGGCTTTGTATCGGAAAATACACTTTACTGTAAACTTATAAACAAGATCCCGCTGCTGTTTTGCTTTTGAATTAAACTAACTTTACGTACAAACACAAAATATGAATGAAGTGTACTTTTTTTTATATATAAATAAAGTATTAAACACGGCTTCGATACAATTTATATTTAACTACATCCAATTTTATCTAGTCTGTAATTGATTTTTATACATTCAAATTAGGTTCGGTTAGGTTAAAGTTAGTTTAATCTGGCAACTTCATAACTTTCACAATTCCATTGCATTGTTGCCAGATTAAACATCTTATTTTTTCAGCTAATGTTCGGGTGTTGCCAGGTTACAGATGCTCGGCATTCCGGATGTCTCGCGGTAACTTGTTTTTTTTTTGTCTTGGATGTAATCAGACGGTTGATGTCATAATGGCAAATTTTATTCATTTATATCATAAATTGTAAAAAAAAATGCAAGAAAAAATAATCCTTAGAACTTTCTAAAATTAATATTCCTCATTGTTTCAATCGTTAAATGCACAATAAATTTTTTTTTTAAAAACTTTCTTTTACGTCGTTTTTTTCGTTTATAAATGAATTGTTTTTGTATAATCTTTCAGTAATAATCCATACTACATATATGACGCTATTAAGGCATAAGCCTTAATTCTGAGGGGCTTGAAATCGAAATTCCAGGAATTTTTCGGGAGATTGATCTGTCGGGCTCGTCTCCTACAAGTAGCATTTATTGTTTAAAATTTTCTATTTTTCTAATTCTATTAGTTATTTTTGTAAATAAAAGTGAACAATTGAGTATGAGGCCCACCAGTGAACGAGTAGATTGGTCTCCTAATAGTCGGTCGCTGGTTGGATCTCACCAACAGGCGCTGGTTGCGCGGAGTTTTAGGTGTTATTTACGTGTCTAACACTTAAATAGGAGCCAGTTTCCAATAGAAAGTCCTCTC